AAAAAAAAAAAAAAAAAAAGAACTGTGTGCCATTCTTGGTAGCACAATAAAAATTTCATGTGGGCCTGGTCTGTCCTGCCCAGGAAGTGAATCATCCCTTGTCCAGTATATCCACATTATGGCTCCCCACCACTAAATCACATAGCAGCTGTCTGGGTTAACAGATGCACTGTCATATGTGTTCAAGCAACCCTTATTGTACTTACGTAATTATTGCAGTACATTGTTATAATATGTAAGGTTTCAGGTATCCACTGGGAGCTTTGTAACATTACTGCCACCAACAAGTCTGGGACTACAGATGTTAGGTAACAACATGAAAATCTAAGCACAAGAAAGGGAGCTATTTGATTAACAGGATAAAAAGGTGAAACCTCTGGACTGGAGGATATATCCACTACCGGTGTAGAAGAAGGGCAACAGCCTATTCATAAAGAAATCACCAGTGTCAGCATTTATTTAATAACTCAGAGTATTTCTCAAAAATTTCCACAAAATGCACTTTTACTAATGAGAAAAGAGAATTCTTAGAGTTGGGCAGTGGGGCTGAAAATTTTGCCAAAGTACTAAATTTCTTGCTAATGTTCTTTCTACCTTAAACATATCTGCACATATTATACTTTTCTCCATAAAACAATCTTATCTATTTTAATATAAAAAGTTTTCAAAGTTCGCCTATTTTAAATTTTTTAGTAAAACTAATGTTCTAAACAGATTTCTTTTATGACTTTATATACCCCTGATATTCTTCCAAATCCAGAAAGGAATACTATTACACGGATGTAAAAGACAAGGTAAATTCAGCAAACCTTCTGTCCCAGAGAGAATTATAACTCATCTAATGGCCAACCAGCTAAATTTCTTCCCTTACTTAATCTCTCCCATTTGGAAGCTGGGTATGCTCGTTGTATTTCATAACGTATAAATATTAACTTAGTGGGTAAGATTTAGAGAAGGTAAGACAATATACTCAGCAAACAAAAACAGTTTTCAATCAAAGGTGACTGTATAGAGAAAAAGAAGGGATTTCATCATTAAGAAATATTTCACTAAACTCAATTAACTTCCTCTTTACTAATTTTAACATATGGCTCTTATTTAAAATGTACCACCTAAAAGAACACAAATGCTTTCAGAAAACAGACAGTGATCTATGTGCAGGAGAGATCTGCTATCTACAAACCTAGGACAATATACTGAACCCTTATCCCAGGAAAAAAAAGTAAATTTGAATACAGAAAAAAAAGATTAATGAAAACTGATTAAAATATATATTATTTAAAAAACCCTACCAATAAAGCAAAATTTTCAAGAAACAAAGGGTAAGACATAGTATGAAACACAGTACTTAAAGCTGATCAGACACCTGATCATTTAAATACATGTTTAAATTGGCACCTAAAACAGTTCAACATTTTAATACTTACTGGTTATCTCTTCTAGTTCATGAACACACTCATAAATTAACCATTGTCTTGATATCAAAATCTGACAAGCATATTATTGAAAACAAAAATCATAGTCTAACCTATCTAATAAATATAACTGGAAAAAATCCTACAAAACGTTTCACAAAGCAAATCCAAAGGTATAAAAAAAATATAGCCAAGTTGCATTTATTATAAGAAGGCAAGATTTGTTTAACAGTTGAAAACTAATTGATGATTTCACTATGATAAAAGAATAAATGTGTCCATCTATAAACATAGGAAATGAATTTTGGCAAAACGCCAACTGGTCATAATAAAAACTCTCAACAGCCTAGGAAATAAAGAAAATATCTCAATTAAATATAGAGCATCCATTAAAAAAGAAAAAACAAACCTTTCAGCTGACTGGGCACCCACAGCTCAGTGATTAGGGCACTGGCCACATGCTCCAGGGCTGCTGGGTTCGAACCTGGCCCAGCTTGCTAGCCAACAACAAAAACACCCCCCCAAAACCTTATAGCTATGTATCTATCTACAGGATGAAAAAAAGAAATCTGTCCCTATTTTTGCATTTCAAGAATAAGACAAGTATATCAGTTATCACTCTCTCTACTCTATATTGACTAGAGCTTTTTTTTTTGCATGAGCTAACATAAAATATCACTCAAGAATATCTAGTTACATGTGTTATATCTGGATTAATCAATTAATTTAAAAATTATCAGAAAAATCCAGTAAAATATGACCAAAAAATTATCTCTTCCACAAATGCTAAAAGCAGATCATCACACAACAAATGATCGATAACTCTTTTTCAGTCAAAATGTGAAAACTAGGGCAGTGCTTGTGGCTCAAGGGAGTAGGGTGCCAGCCCCATATGCCAGAGGTGGCAGGTTCAAACCCAGTCCTGGGCAAAACTGCCAAAAAAAAAAAGTGAAAACTAATATAAGAATAAACACTTTTATTTTTATTTATTTATTTTGAGACAGAGTTTCATTATGTCACCCTTGATAGAGTGCTGTGGCGTCACA